TCTTGTAGTCTTGGACTTTTACTAACACACTGAGCTCTAGGAAAATTTATTTCAAAATTGATTTTCTAGCATAAAACAAATACAGGGCAAGAGCATATTACAAAATAAGGATCCAGAAACGTATTAATGAATACAATTATATTCAAAAGGTTGGTGTCTATGAGATTTTCTCCCCTACAACCCAGGAAAATAACTGCACTTTATTAATACAGAATAATCACATATTTACCTGCTCATGAGACTATCAACTCACTTTTTAATATAAAGAACATAATTATCACTGCAAAACAAAAATGTAGCAACATCATTATTTTTTAAGCATAGATAATTTTCCTCTGGAATATATATATATATATATATATATATATATATATATATATTTGTAAATTACCCCCACACATTTTAAATAGAACCCAATGTATTTCCCCCCATTTGGGAAATGGAAAGTGCTCTCTAAAAAATTGCATTGATGTGTATTTTCACCATAAATTGGTTAAAACAGTGCAGTTGTTTCCCCTTATTCAGAACAAATACATTATAAGAAGCTAAATAATTCTAAAGTGAATTAAGGTGCTTACCTTTGAGCCTCGCTCATTAAAAATAATTTCAACATCTAAGATTTTACCAAATTGCTGCAAAGAAATAGAAATATTTTATAAGCAAACAGAGAAGTCAAATAAGTCTTAGGGTCATTGTTCCTCGTGACACTTTCCCCCTTAATATCTAGAATATACATTTTATATTGTTCTACTGTTACATCATCTGCTTGGAACAAGACAAAATACAGTCACATACGTTATTCTTGGATTATGGCATTTCCCACCAGGTGAGATGCAATGTCAGGAACTGGTACAAAATAGCAATCAAGAGGTTAATCCCGTATTCCTCTTTGGTAAGTGTGTGTAGGATTGCTTTCCTAGGCACTGGGCAGCAGAGATTACAGATGGAGAGTCCCTAGGTAGATTGCTCCTTTAGCACTGGGAAAAGTATCCTTGCCGAGGTGGGATTTTGACAGTAAAATGCCCAACTAAGACGTGACATTGATGGTGTGGCTCCTAGTTCACATTAAAGCTATAAGTAGCCAGACGCTGTGATGCAAGGCACGGTACACTGTCCGGGTACCCGTCGTACTCGAGATACCACAGCGCTCAGGCTGAAGCATAGACTAACCTCCCAAATCAATCTCCACATTGGGGAGCAAATATGTGTTAAGCCATTAAAATAAACAGGCTCTGTCCAAAGCCCAAAATCAAAGATATAGATTACAAATAAACTGGACAACCAAAAAAAAAATTGTGAACACTCTGTTAAGCTTAAATTTCAGACTTTTCCAGGTACACCATGCCACGCCATAGTGAGGGCACACAGGTACTTCATATTTGTTGCATACCTAAAATTCAAGTTTGCATATTTGTTTTTTAAATCTGGTTCTTCTAGTGAAGAATGTAAACCGAGCTTTTTTTTTTTTTTTTTATGTACTGGGGATTGAACTCAGACCCTTGTACTTTTCAGGGAAGTGCTTATTCTACTGAGCCATCTCCTCGGCCCCTCTAAGCAATTCTTGATTCAAGCTTCAAGAGAATGTGGACTCTAAAACTAGAATCATCAGATAATCTAGAATCCTTTTCCCCTGATTTTGGAGTCCTTTCAGGCTTGTTAGGTCATATGAAGCAGAGCGGGTATTTCTTGAGTATGGACTTCCCTGTATAACACCAGTAGAAGGAAACAACGTAAACACACATACAAGGTGGCCCCATGAAGAAGGATACAGGGATCTGGGCTCATTGCCAAGTGAAAGCAAATGCCCACTTTAAGGACTACAAGAAAGAAATAAAACAGCATGAAAACATATTTCAGTCTTCTTTTTCTTTGAGTTTGGGTTTTCCTGTCATCTCACTGCTTGTGCATTCTGGCCTTAATTGCATCCTCTATGACCCTGTGAGTCTCCATTCTGTTTCTGTCGCCCAGGTGGAAAGCATGAAGGACAAGTCTATGTAACAAAGCACAGGGTGGTGATGTGGAGGAGGGGAAGTGTAGAAAGAGAACAAAGAGGCAAAGCAGGGAAGCAAAGACAACCTGCCTGACCAATGAGTGGCCCTCTTATAATAGTGGGTCACCCAGACAGCCAATATCAAGAGAGTTCCACTTACACTTAGGGAAAGATGGAACATACAGAAGATCATTTGCAATAGACCAGGAAATCTACCTCCCCTAGAAAGAGAAAGCATACCTATACGGCAATAGCATATAAATAGATCAAAATCTTGAAATACAAATAACCTTGATTAAGGAAATAAAGGAACTCAAAGCCTGTCATTCTGTGCCATAAAATGTGTCTGTGTCTCTTTGTCAGGATAAATATGTACCCTATCCCTGTCTGGAAATCATATACTTTTTCATTGAGCAGAAGTACTTGTTTATTTCACAGAGAAGTAAAAGCACAAGGAGAAACTAAGAAGAACAGGCTCACATTAGAGAGGAGGTGGAAAGCCAGTAATAGTGCTGACACCAAGAAATATGCAGCAAACTCACCCTACAGTCTGTGGAGATGGAGTTATTTCTTAGAGCAAAACAATATTCTTTCTTACAACATTTTCAGTAGTAAGTCTTGGGAGAAGAAAAAAATCATTAAAAATAGAAGGAAATCTCTTAAGTGAGAAATAAAAGATTTCACATTTAAAGGTGAACAGAAGTCAGATGTGGTGGCATGCACTTGTAATCTGGGAGGCCAAGGTAGGAAGATCACAAATTTGAGGGGCCGGGGAGATGGCTCAGTAGAATAAGCACTTCCCTAGCAAGGGCAAAGGCCTGAGTTCAATTCCCAGTTTAAAAAAAAAATCACATGTTTGAGTCATGCATGGGTAACCTAATAACGTAGCATGTCCCTGTCCAAAAAAAAAAAAAAAAAAAAAGCAAGTCTGAGGATGTAGCTCAGTGTGAAACCTCTGGGTTCAAACTCCAGTATCCAAATAAATAAATAAATAATAAATGTGCTTCATAGTAACGAATCCTCCAGCTTTTGAGCTCTTTGGAAAGAGTAATTTTAATGAAACCTCTTAGAATATTCAGTTCGCACAGATGCCATCATATTTATTTCAAGCATAAGAGCCTAGAAGCATATATATTTATGGAAAGAGAAGCCTGAAAAAGACTTCTTCCAAAACCATGAAGCAAATGTCATCTATGGAACATTCTCTAAGCAGTCAACACAAAAACACTTCTTTTAAAATAAGATCTGGCTGAGATGGAACCAATCAAAAAGTAATCTTAGCATGTGTCATTCGCTAAATGAAACAATGACACCATATGCCCTGAAATGGTCTCAGACGCTTGCTTCTTTGGCAGTTGCCTCTAGGTTGATGGTTCCCAAAGCCAGCGAAACAAGCTGTAAGAAGAACGCTGATGTAAGCCCCATTTCCAAGACAGTTGTGTACTATATTTATAGTATCAACAGTTTAATTGGGAAGTTTGGTACTAATGATGTAAACACAGCTGGCACATTTTCAATTTAGATAGACACAACTTCTTCGCAGACATAACTAGCATTTGTTTGCTCCAAGCAATGTGCACCAGCATCTCAGATCCACACAAGGTGTCTCAATGGCTGTATCAAGGGGAAATTCTAGAAGCTTACAGGCACGCACTTGGGCAAATATGTACCCAGCATTTTTAGACATTCTCAGATCAAACAATTCTCTGAAAAACTGTGAAGATGTTCAATGGATACAGCATAAAACATGAAAGTAAATGTTAGTTCAAAGTGTGTGCACAGAGGCTAAGACAAGGCATTATTCCAGTTGTCCTCAGAGTCAACTTTAGTGCAGAAATAGGATGCATTGTGTGATGTCCCCAAAATGACTTCACTACTCTGAACGCAGTGGTGGGTGGGAATTGGCATTGACACTTTAGGTACAAGAGCGACACTATCTCTGTTGTAGTCATTAGCAGTGATCATGAACGTGTCTTTTGCGTGTGACACAGTCATTCATGTATTTTTTTTTGCAACAACAAAGAAGGCTTAAGCAGACTGTTTCCCTAGCAGAAGGGTCTGTATTTTGATAACAAAAGCAAGATTATGGAATCAGTGAGAGTATTGTGCAAACCATAGACCTAGACTCACTAAGCAACTCTTTCTGGAAATAGTTCTGATGGCAGGTGTCATCAGAAGGTTTGGATATAGTTTTCCCTGTTTCTCTCACCTCAAACTCAGAAACGTTTAAGTTGCAAATATTAGGTTATATTAAGTATCTATTCAAGATAAACATGTTGCAATCAATTGGTGGAAGTCTGCACGTTTTTTTAATGGACTGAAGAAATCAAATGTTAAGGGAAAAGGCAGATTTCATGGAGGACCCTAAGCATGAAGACAGATCTCAAGAGAACAAAGTCTGGGCCGGGTCCCACATTTCCAGTGAAACAAGAAAACTCAATGCCCCTAATAATACAAGAGATCTATTCATTAGTAGATGGTGGTTTTGGACAGCTTTGGCTTCTGATTCCTATCTTGAAGCCACATAGCATCTTGATCAAGAAATGGCATATTTTAAAAGAAAAAGATCCTAACAAGGACTAGAAGACATAATACTAAACAATGGAACAAGTACCTCCCAAAGAGGAATATGTAGAGAACATGCAGAAAAGAATGTGCAATAAAAATGGAACTGGAGGCCAATCTCAGAGAATAGGCACTGAAGCCACAATTAAAAATAAAGTGCGAGCCACCTGCAGCGGCTCTGATGCTTCAGCAGTCGCATCAGGGCAGAAGTACTACTAGTTTCACAGTTTGTTCTGCACACTGCCAAATTTTAGGCAATTTGAAGAAAGAGGTTGCTTTGTGTCTTGTTTTGTTTTTAACTTAGAAATCTTTGTGCCTGTACTTAACAAAGGAGACAAAGGAGAAGAGAAGCATACAAATCTGTGAGTATTTTTCCCTGTAATTGCCCTGATTGTTTAACATCTGCCAAAGTAAGCGGACAAAGACAGCAGACAGCACTGAAAGTCGAGATGTCTCATGTTCAAAGGATTTGAGAAATACCTAATTGGGATTAAAATGTAGTTTCTTACAGTAAGTGTAGCCTAAAAGAGGAAACTATGTTAATTCCCGCACTCTAGCTGGGACAGCCAAGCAGAATGCACAGACATCTTTCAATCTGATTCATGCTGCTAAATGCATCATTTACGAATGGTTTTGTGGCCACCATTGTTTGGCCAAGAAGAACAGATTTTTAGTGCTACAATTCCATTTCTTTAGAATGCTGGTTGTAAACGAAGGAGGCCTGCGAATTATTGCAAAGGGTTTATGAATCCATATGTGTCTGGTAATTTTTATAGATGAAACACCAAAACACCTCATATACTTTTCAGAATGGACACAGATGCTTCTTGTGATGAGCCGAACTAATTTTAGTGTTAATGAGTGTACACTACATTTTCTTAATTGATCGACATTAAGTGTATGTGTTGTCTTGTCAAATTGATATCTGGTTAGTTTCTTGAAAATCTGTACTTAAAAGGGGGGGGGCCTCTGAAACCAGTACACTTTGAACAAGGTTTGATAAGGTTTGATAGCCTGGCAAGCTTTTTTTTTTTCTCCTGCCATTTCTTTCGCTTCTATAGGAACAGAGAAATTTCAATAGTAATGTGAATGGTCTTCTTAGCTTGTGATTTTTACCTGTGAATACTTTTGCATACCTCTTGGACTTGGCATTATAGCCTTAGGTAAATTTCAAGATAACCAAGAAGACCAGAAGGGAAAACATAACCTTAACTGAAGGTGGGAAGTGTGTGTTCCACAATGCAGGAAACCATGAAAGAACGCCAGGACGGTCATTAAGGAGATCAAATTTAAATGCAACATCTCAGTGACATCTCATGAGTAAAGATGGATTGAGGAGCAAGACATCTTCCAAACCTGACGTGGCAAAAAGAATCTCATTCCTCCAGCTGTCCATCATTCACTCCTGCTCTTACTGCTTTGCACACACTTAACCTCAACTCTAACTTTGAATGCTCTGCACTTTTCAAAGTCATCTTTGACCTGAAAGTGCCTGAGGGTATCTCTGTTCTGCAAGAGTTAGAGGGTTTAACTCAAGGTTATTACCAAATGAGAGAGATAAAAGTGCAAAAGCTGACCTTTTCCTCTGAAATGTCAGGATTCAAGCCCAGGTATCTTAAATATTAGGATGCTTGCTCGGCTTTTGTGTCAGATGCATACTCGATAAGCATCATGTGTGTTAAAGAAATAAAAGGTATAAGCTGACCACCTAACAAGACAACATTTGTATAGGAAACCATAATTCCCTTCTCATTTAGAGAACACTATTGACTTTGTCTGACACAAGGCATGCGACATGGGCATCTTCTTACTCCTTCTGTAATATTTGTATCCATCCACAATCTCTTTAAAGAATATTCACCAAAAAATCCCACCTTTGCCCTAAGTCAAAGTTTAAGAATGCAGCTCTTTCCATTGACTGCACAGACTCTTGCTGTTGCTTCTGGGATGTCAGGGAAAGATGAACTGACTACATTTCCAAAAACAAACCATATGCAAACTCTACTTTGGCTTTGTCTTTTGGTTGAGCTAAAACCAAAGAAATTGCAAGCTTGTCTTGTCACAAGGTGAATAGTACATCTATCTTCCATGAAAAACAACAGGGTCATAACGGCCTATAAAGAAGCAAAATTTTCGCTTATTTCCTCTGGGTTAAAGGTAGTTTACAGTTTGTTCTGTTTTAACTGGGTGCCTGAGTCTCTGTTTCATTTAATAGCAAGTAAATACCTTTGAATCTTTGTCATTGATTCCAGGAGAATGCATACTGAAATAATCAAAAAGAGTTAGACATTACTAGTGTTTTGTTGCTTTTTTTAAAAAAAAAAAACTAGTATCTATACAGAACTAGTTGTTCTCTGAAACTATATCTAAAATCTGAATGCACAGTGCCTAGGAAACAGAGGGGAATGCAGCAATATGCCAGGAGTCACTGCTCCCAATAAGTTGGCAATGACAACAGTGAGCAGAATCATGATGACTCCAGTGTTTATTTCAGCTATGACTTGAGGTCTCAGAATACTGGATTTGGAGTCAGCAATGGACTTGTGTCACCGGTGGGAAATGTAACAGTCTCTTTTTCACTTGACATTCAAATGTACTTATTAGAAGACAACAATTTGACAAAGCAGAAACAGCATTTTCAAAGAAATTCATACTACAACTATAGAGGGATCCTAGCATGAGATACCGATGGAGTAGACTCTCCAGTGACTTCCTACTATACAAGAATTTCATTCAAATTCTGTGAATACCAGCCACTTACATGATGAGGAAAACTCTGAGGATTCCAGAGGACAAAGGCAGTACTTACACCAAACATTTGTCGGAGGTCGGGATCCCGGAACCGGAAGGGGATATTAGAGACATGAAGCCTCTTGGGCTGAGACTTGTTTTCCGTGTTTTCAGAAGGCTGTGTCTGGGGCTGGCCATCCGTTGGTGCTGCATCATCTGTCTGCTAAAGGAGCAAGAGGAAAGCGGAGAGGCTCTGAGTAGACTCACTTGTACAGTCCCATTGTTCTTTTACCTCCACAAACAGTAGGAAAATGCCAAAACAAAGAAGTAAGGGAAGGAACAAGGCATTCATTTATTCAGTATATACTTTGGGGACATCCACCATAGGCTTGTCATGGATCTTGAACTTAAGAATGATAAGAGTAGCCAATATTCCTGCCCTCATAGAGTGCACTTCTAGTAGGAGGAAGGTATCATAAAACTTAATAATAAATAAATATAGTGTTTGAAAAAGGACATGAGCTTTTTGGAGAAAAATAAAGCCAGAGGAGATGCTGGGGGTGAGGTGGAAAGGAAATCATCATAAAGAAGATAGGAATAATCACTAAAAGTAAGAGAGTGATATTCTTTAATCAATGCTGCTCAGAATCTTAGGGTATGCCCGCATAATTACGGAGGTTGCACACATAAAATATTGATAAATGTCAAAAACCTGAAAGGGCACCTCAGCGTTCTGAAGTCCAAAGGATCACTTGATTGTCTCACTTTTCAGAAAGTTTTAGCTGAGGGGCTTGCCAAATAACTCAGCAGATTAAAGTGCCTGCAAGCAGGAGCAGGGGCTGGGGATTTGATCCCTGGGACTGCTGTGCTGGCCCCACCCCTGGGGTACACTGAGATGGCAACTGAGACTGGACGTGGTAGCGCACATCTGTAATCCTAGCTCTTGGGAGGCTGTGAATAGGCGGATCACTATGAGTCATATCTAGTAGTGAGACCCTGAACACCCTGTAGACCCTTCCCTAAAATACAAAAAAAAAAAGTTTTATCTGAGCTTCTTAACTGTAAACACTATGCCTTCTACAACTATTGACCAAATTTAAATTTAAGTAAAGTGAAATTAAATAAAGCATATTTTTTGTATGAGCTGCACTTAAAGTGCTCAGTCACTTCATGTAGACAGCTGACTCTGCAGAATGTTCTCCTGAACCACATGCCCGTAAATAACATAATATTGTTAGCATAACTCATTGCTTCTTTCTGCCATCCTCTGTTCCAAATAATCCTAGTTACAACGTTATTACACTGATACCCATATAAGGCCAGAAACTATGAAAACAGTCACAGTAAACACTGTAATATTTGGTATCATAACAGTACTATCATTCTAGGTTCTATCTCTGCAATTAATGAATGCTACCTGTAGGTGCCAAGAGATGTCATCCACATTAGACACTTCTCTGGAAGCTAGGTGGAGTGTGTATTACAAAGTCTATCAAATTTATGAGCAAGGAATCACCCTCACCTGTTTATAAGCAATTTGGAAGCATATAGCTGGTGCAAAACTATCAATATATGCAGTGAGGTGTAAAATCATAGCAACTTAGAGAAGAAGGCAATCTAACAGAGTGAAATATAATAGAAACATTCCAATAACATGGGCATAATTAGTACCTTTCTTGTCAGCATCAGTATTTGCGGGAAGTTTTCTTTCTTTTTTTTGTATTTTAGGGAAGGGTCTACAGGGTATTCAGGGTCTCACTACTAGATTGGACTCGTAGTGATCTGCCTGTTTACAGCTTCCCAAGAGCTGGGATTACAGGTGCACACCACCACACCCAGTCTTTTGCTGGAAGTTTTTGTTTGCTTTCTCTTTCCTAACACACACTGAATTGAATTCTGCTGTCAGACCTCCTGGTGGCTGCCACGCCATTCTTCCATACTTACTATCCCAACCCCACCAGATTACTCAACTTCTAAGCACAATGTCATGATGCCAACTGTCACATAGTCATTTTGCCAGTGCTGTAGAGTGAGCAGGGAGAAAGATAGTGATGCTTTTCTTAGCTAGAAAATGATAAATAACCCGAGCGTATCACCTTACAAAGATCTGTGAAGACTGAATGTAGTCATTTAGCGTGCCAACTTGGCAGTGCTCCTGGCATGTGGTATATATCCAATAAATGGCAAAGTAATTGATTTTTCAGAACAAGGGCACTTTAAGAAAATGCTGTAAGAGAGCAAGAAAGCTCTCCTGGGAGACACAAAGGAAAGTCTGCATTTTCTTATTCAACACATTTTTACTGAGCAACTGTTAGGTGCTGGACATAAGTCAGCATTTCCCAGGTGAACAGAAGAGAAAGAGGTAGCGAAAGACAGTTACAGCACACATGGTCAGTGCTGGGATGAGAGCAAATTACAAAGAGCTGATGGGGCTCAGGGCAGGGACACACAGCAGAACTGAGGTGACTGTTAACATGTGAGGGGTCTAAGGAAAGTAGAGGTGGCTGACTCTGCACCAAATGAGAACAACGCATGAGCTGAGATTCAGAGATGGGAGACAGTGTTCTACCTCTGGGACAGTGCCTACGGACTTGGACATCACGGGTCAGAGGCAGCATGCAGGAAGATAGGCAGGTAAGAGAATCCCACAGGTAAGGGGGGAACTAGGTCACAAAAGTCTTCCTTACATGCAAGACAAGAACCTGAACATCCTAGAGGCTGTCAGGAGCTATCCAAGGACCATAGCAGCAATGACCAGCTTGTGATATCAGTGACAAATGCCTGCTTAGTGGCTAGCCCAGCACCTTCCCTGATTGAATGGTGCCTGCACACATGAGTAATAAATAAACAACCAACTTTGTTGCCTTCAAGTGACAAAGAATAACATTAAATTTAGATGCAAACAGAACAGGCACTGAGATTTCTTTGCCAGTGAAATAAGGTTTTGTTCTATATCCGGGTCACTGAGATAACCTCCAATCATGACAATGTCATTGTTCAGAGGGGTAAGGAGTCTTAGCAAAAGACTCTAAATTGGCATGAACAAGAGCTAAGACTGGGGTCTTTACAAGTTCAGTCCATTTCTTTCATTGCAGTTTGAAGGCAAAATTAAAATGAGCTCATCATCATCCAGAGGAAAAGACGACTTAGATTTGGATTTGTGCACTACTGCGAAATGTTTTAGTTTAATAAACCTAATTAGGAATTACAGAGATTATGATTAAACATATTAAATGATTAATAGTATTATGCTGCTCATGTGAAAATTAAAATTAATCATCTCTAGTCAAACAGGACTTTAGAGAAATCTTTGCATTGTTTCCTTTGATAAAAACATACAACGCTCAATTAATCATTTTGTAGTGTATGTATTTATACAAATGCCCATAAATTGTTACATAGGAATATTTGTGTTAAGACAAATTTTAGCCAAAATGCATAATATGAAAAATAACTCAAAATAGTTTCCGATATTTGTGGGTAGACAGGAAGGAGTTTGGGGATCAATGAAAAGAGTATAAACAGGAAAGAGCTCCTTCTACGTGAGAACATCTGTGTGCAATGTGTAGTGCTGTGAAGAGAACCAGGATTGCTAAGTCGCTGGTCCTCGGTCCAGTTCTTTAACTGCTCATTTTGTGTATGGGAGGGGCGAAGGGGGATGTCCTATAACCTCTGTGAGAGTCCGTTAACTAATGTGTGAAAGGACAACCCTGGTAGAAATCCTCCAGCTCTGGAGTGAGGACCAAGTGCAGCAGGAGGTATGGGAGGAACGTGCTACGGAGCCAGCGTATCTCAGGCTGGGATGGAAGAGAGTGAGGATGAATTACTATTAATATCAAAGATGAGCTCTTTTCACTTTTCTGGGAACTTTCAGAGAAAGGCTTGGAATGGAGCTGTGTTTAATGTCTCTGCTATACCTTGACTCTGGACTGTCCCCTAAATGCTTTGTATTAAGGATTAATCCTCAACTCTGGTGTTCTGGAAGATGGTGGAACCTATAGGAGGTGCAGTCTAGTGGGAGGAAGTTAGGTCATTGGGGGTGTACCTTTGAAGGAGATTTGGGATCCCAGCTTTTTTTGTTTTTTAACCTCTCCCCCTTTGCTTTCTGACAGGCATGAGATGGCCAGGCCTCCCCCTCCCACACGCACATGTCCCATATGACAGACTGTGTTGCCATCAGTCCAGTGTAACACAGCCAAGTGACCATGGATGGAAACCGCAAGTCAAACTAGACCTTTCCTTCTTATGAGTGGACTCTGACAAACGGACAAAGCTGACCAAGATACTCTCTGTGTTAAACAATTTGCATGCCTTGAACTGGAGAACATTCTTCTCTCATAGTAGGGCAGACCATGAAGTTAATCTGAACATGCTGTAGGGCTGTATTTGCTTTAAGGAAGAAAATTCCGTTGCCTCTTCTAGCTTTGGCAGCTCTAGCTGTCCCTTGACTCAGGCTTGTGACTCCCATCTCTGCATTCATATGCATGTGGCCAACTTCACTGTGTATCTGGTTCAAGTTTGCCCTTTTTTTTTCCTTCTTATAAGGACATGAGCACACCCTTAATCCAGCACACCTCCTCTAAGATCTTTAACTTCATTATATCTACAAAGACTCTTTTCTCCAAAGAAGTTCATGTTCAATCACAGTTCATAGAGGTTAGAACATGAATACATGTTTTGAAGGGTGTAGTGGATTCAATCCACTACAATCTCCACCAAAAAAAAAAAAAAAAAAAAAAGAAAAGAAACCAAAAATGCACTAATTCCTGTGACTGGTACCAAGAAATGGTTTTATTTTTTTAATTTTTTTAACACCTCTGGAAGCATGAGGCTCTCAAAGACATTGGCCTCCGACCAGACCCAAAAAATTTAAAGTAAAAGGAAGAGAGTCCATTCCAGAGCTGGCCCAGACTACCATTTGTGAACAGAGGCCAACAAAACAAGGCTTCCAATGAGGGAGAGATGTGTACCTTACCCCCAGCTGTCAGCAGCTCAGATTGTCACCTTCATTTCCATCCAGGGATGTAGGAAGGCCCTCAGGCAAAGGTCATCAACTTTGTAGGTATTAAACTAATAAGTATACACAAATCCTTGCCTCTATAGAGTCTTTAGACTCTTTATGACATCAAAGTCTCGGTGACTGTTCAGATAGCATGCATAAAGAAGGGGGATTATCATGATCTTGATATTATTAGCAGTGTTAATAGCCATCAGCTTTGGTTC